TTTGAACTGCAGCCATTGAGAATTAGATTTCTAAGGAATTTGTCTGTTGTTTATGGTCTTAGTGATAACTGGTAGGATAGCAGTTATAAGCATGTTTAATCCTTTTATATCTGGGTATATGCTAAGAACATTATAATAAAAATAATTTAAATATAAAAAAAAATCATTCCAGAAAGCAAGGAGACCATCAAACACTACTTAACTAGGTTATATCAAAAGAACTCTAGAGCCAACTTAAAGGAATTTTCATTGGTCAAATGTGGAACAATTCAATATTTCAAAGAAATAATAGTAATGGAAACACTAATAGAAAAAAACACACAAATTTTTCATAATACTAAGGACTTTCTTGCTAGAAAACAGACCCTGAATCTGGTCATATTTTAACTACCATTTACAGGAAATGGAGGATGTTAAATAAGAAATGCAAAAGAATGACCTGGTTTCTTCATTAAGGAAATTGCAAGCAAAAAAATAAAAAGAGGGAGGGACAATCAATCAATTAAAAGAGACTTCAGAGACATCTCATTCAAATGCACTGTGTGGACCTAAGAGTAACAGAGGTGTAAGTATGACCACGGTATATCATACACATAAAGGGAAATATCACAACAAAATGTACAATCAATGCACACTAAAGAAAACTTGGAGAAAAAACAACAACAAAACAAACAAAACCCAACTGTTTAATAAATGAGAGAATCGGGCAAATAAGAACGAATGTCAGAATATTGAATGGTATTAAGAGTGTGCAGGTTAAGTTCTTAGGAATGGCAGGAACACTGTGGTTGTGTTTATGGAAAGATTTCTTAGCCTATGTATTGAAGCGTTTTCAGATGAGATGAAATGATAATGATGTTTGGCCCGGGCACTTTTTTATTCGTGGTTCCCTTTTACCATAATGGGTTTTCATGGGCTCTGAAACTTACATCATTTTCTGATGTAATGATAACATAAAAAGCTTGCTTCTCCACTTTCTGATGTTTATAGAAATTGGAATAGTTTTGTATGCTTCTAGAAGTATTGATAGTCTGCTTGCTGTGCTTAATGGACGAGCTGACCCTGGTCTGGATTTGTTTTAAAATGATCCAGTGGTGGGAAGAGAGACAAGGAAAATGGGTGCCTGGGGACTGGCTGACATAAAATTTGCCATGATTAATAACTGCCAAAGCTGTGTGATAGTTGTGAGGGACACCTCATCATCTTTCACACGTGTTTGAACATTTCCATAAGTAAGTGAAAATTCAACTTTGGGAAAAAAATTTAAATGTTATTTTGATTTCTCCCATAGAAAAGAAATACAAATTAAATAAAACAAAAAGTTAGTTATTTAAACTTGGTGTTTGTATGCCTTTTGAATAAATGATAATTAGCGATAGCAAGCCTTTTTTGGGACAAAGACCTAGTTATTAAAATTTTGCTAAGATTTAAAAATCTAAACTGACAGAATTTTTAAAAAATTCACTTCCTAACTTTTAAATTATCTGGGATTTTTGGTGGCATTGGGGTTTGAACTCAGGATTTCGCATTTGCTATGCAGGTACTCTATTACCTGAGCCACTTTTCCAGCCCCTCCCCCCTTTTTTCCTGGTTATTTTGAAGATGGGGTCTCTTTTTGCCTAGGCCAGCCTGAATGGTGATCCTCTATTTTAGGCTTCCTGCTCTAGCTGCCATGACAGTTATGCCCCCGTGCCTAACTTTTTTTGCCTGGGCTAGTCTGGCTCCATGATCCTGCCAATCTTAGCCTCCTGCAAAGCTGACGTACAGACATGAGCCATGGGTGCCTGGTATCTAATTTCTGAGTGAAGGATGGTAAGAAAAAATAACAGCTACATGGATAGAGCTGCTTCCTGTCAATATGGTACCACTTTATTTGGAGGAGAAGGCTATATGAAAATTTCATGTCACCTTTGTAATAAAATACCCAAATAAAGGGTTATACAGCAAGTCCATTCTGTTTTCAAAAAAGCTACATTTGGTTATTGTGAGCAGGTGAGTGGCAATATAAAGCCAGTATACAGGGGTGTGTAGATGTACTCTCCCATAGTAAGGCTCAGACATGCCGTGCTGACCTCTCTGTGGCTCCCTTGCCTTGCCATACATTAATTCCAGAAATAGCTACTGGGTATTGACTTTGGGCCAAGCCCTGTGCTAGACGTTTGGATGGGCTATGAAAAAAATGGATCCTTCCAGTAAGGAGCAAACTGGAAAGAAGAGATGATCAGCTGGAGAGATGGAAAAATAGACAATTATCTTCAAAAAGGATGAAAAGTATTCCAATGGTTAGGTAAGTGAATTAGGCTGGAAAGCATCTCACACATGTTGCAGAAATCAGGAAGATTTTCTGGATATGGAAAGATATTTAAGAAACCCAAAAGGAAAGCAGCATTCTCCAGGAAAAGCAGAAGAATAAGGAAGGCATCCCAGGCAGAGAGTTAGCCCAAGCAGAACTCTGCAGGCTGTGGAGAGTGCTATATGGGTATGAGCACTGGTCAGAGGAAAGGTAGCAATGGAGAGATAGGAAGGGAAAGTGGGGTATGGCATTAGGTCATGGAAGGGTTGTAATGAAAGGAGCAAATGTTTACTTCAGGGTTTCTTGAAATGTGGTTCCCCACTAGCAGAATCAGTATCACCTGAGAATTTGTTAGACATTCTGATTTTCAGGCCCACCTTACATCTATTGAATCAGCAAGTGGAGGTGTGGCCCAGCCATTGCTATTTTAAGAGGCCCTCCAGATAAAGTGGATGCACCGTAAGTTTAAAAAACATTTGTCTATACCAGTGATCCTTAATTAGAAGTGATTTTACCCTCTAGGGAACATTTAGCAAGGTCTGAATACGTTTTGGGTTGTCAAACTGATGGGGGCAGGAAGGAGTATGTGTAACAATGTGTGTTGGTGTGTGTGTGAAACACTGCTAAGCATCCTATAACGCTCAGGATAGCTCCCCACAGCAAAATCCAATCCTATATGTCAATAGTGCAGCTTTTGAGAAACTTTGACCCTTCCTCCCTTCATTCCTTCTTCCTGTTTATCTATACATCCATCCATCTCCTGTACTGTTACTTGTTCTATAGAGATCATAGAGCACTTAAAAGGCCACAAAGTGCTCCTTTTCTGCATTTTTATTCATCCAATTATAGAAAACCTTCTTTCATCCACTCACTAACTTCCCATGACAAAATGACCTATAGTTAAATGAGGTATTACTTTATTTCAGGCCAAAGGGGACTGTTGCTTCTCCTACAAATTGGATAGCATTGCTCAGAGCATAGGTGGCATTTGCTACACCAGGCCTGAAGCTATAGCTCTTGACCGTCTTGCTTAGGAATTTCCACATGCAGACCCAAACAGCCAGGAATTCTGATTTTGTCATGCGAGTTTCCAACAGGGTTTGAATCTTTGCACGTACAGGAGATATTAGGCACAACTCTGACATGCTCCTCAAAAATATGGAAGTAAGCATTAGTGGACATAATGGTTCAGTTGCAAAGTCTACACAGAATGGGTTTAAGCAAAGAATTAAAGTCACCTTAAAGGAGCTAGGACTAATGAACAAGATAGGATTCTAACCTAGTTGAGAACATTGACAAGCAGAAGAAATTTATGTATCAGAACAAGGTTTGAGGAATGAAAGGAGTAACGGAAATGTAAATTTACAAAGGCAAACATCATGAATGCCCATCTCACGCTTTCCGGGGAATAGGTGTCCTGAAAGATCAACATGAATGTTTACTCTGCATAAGGGACTGTTATTCCCACGTAGAGGTGGAGAATCTGAAAGCCTTTCTGAAGGCTGAAAGGCTGAAATCTGAAAGGCTTTCACAATCCCAACCCACTGACTGTCTCAATTATCTGGCATCAAGTTCTGATTTCAGGCCATAGCAGTCACTTTCTTGTGGTTTGCCCAAAATGCAAAAGGCCCTTGTGAAGCTGATGTAACTGCTAACTCTGCTTGATAGTTGTATTTCACAGTGAACATTAATCAATTGACTCTTTTGTTTATAGGCAACAGTGAATTCTTAAGTCATCTGAAATTGATGAAATCAATTAGCAACATGGAGCTTCTAGGTTTCCAAGGGGGTGTATCTCCTGGAGTCTGATTCTGGTATTGAGCTCAATGTCTTCCTTTGGTGATTCCTGACCTTCACAGTGACATTGTCTTCCAATGTTTACATTCCCATAGTGCTCAAAGTATTTGTGGTAGGTTCATAAAAATGGCCACTGTATTTTGCAGCTCCTCCATCAAGAAGTAGAGTCTACCTCCTCCCCCTTGAATATGGATTAGCCATGTGACTCGTTTTACCTTATAGACTGTGGAGGAAGTAGCCTTATATGAACCTATGCCTCACAAAGGCCTTGCAGTCTCTTTTTTATTTCTTGGAACTCCAGGTCACTGTGTATATAAGTCCCTGGTAGCCTGTGTGTATGAATCCAAGGTGAGAGTCATATGGCTCAACCACCCCAATTAGTCCAGATGACAGCTAGCCAACCCCCATAAACAGGTCCACCCTGCTTACTGGCAGCTGTTAATGCCTGAAAGAGTCCAAGGAAAACCAATCTAGAATCACCTAGAGTCGCTCAGCCCCATTTGCCAATATACAGAATGAAAAGCTAAACAAATGGCTGCTGTTTTAAACTATTCACTTTTGGTGTAGTACATAACAATAGATAATCGATGCAGAAAAATTTCATTTTTTAGTAACTCCCAAATATACTCTGAGGTTATTACCACAGTTTTGTTTCTGAGAAGCCATGGCCTTTGTCTATTGACATAACAATCAGGATTTATTTTGGACATAATTAGGATTCATTTGGGCTATTGTGTGAGTTTCAATGGCTCTTGCAGATAATATAGCCTCTCCTTCTTCCATTAAAGGGTAAAAGATAAGAAGGTTGGATAAGTGGTACAGAAAAACTGGGTTTGCCAATTTTCACAAGAGGAGAATGAGTAGGGTTAAATACATTTTAAAAATCACATTTCTTGGATATGGATCTGACCTTCAGCCGGCGGTCTGGATCTCCACTGCATAGAGAATTTACTGATACTTTGAATGACTTCCAGGCTGGGCTTAAGTTATTCATCACAACCTGGGAAGAGAAAGAGAAGAGTGATGAGTGGAAGAAGAAATGCATGACATTTTCACATTTCAACATAAAAACTGCTTGAGAAGCCATTGTGATACTTATGAAAAGGACAGTTGTCTGGAACAGGTGCCTTAATGAAAACGTGGACTGGTAAATCTTTTAAAAGTGCCCAATAAGCAGATCATTATGGGCAGAACTCCTGTGGTCACTGGCCTGGCTGTTGTTTCGTAAGTAATGACAATAATGACCAGCATGTGGACAGTAAGAATGATCACTTCCATATCACAAGGGCTGAGATTAAGGAGGCTGCCTCTGGCTATTGATAAAGAACCCCTAGGTCTGCAGACCACTAGTCCTCTGGCAGGAATTTCCTTCACTTTGAGTCAGTAGAGGTAAAGACTTTTGGCAAAGGTGGAGGGTATGGGTGATATTCCATCATCTGTGACCTTGAGTCATATTGGATTATGAGCCAGAGAAGTTTGTAGAAGAAAAAATTACAGGAGCATCCTTATATTAGCTTATCACTATCAATTAGAATATCCTAGAAAGGCACAAAAGGGCTACTCTTCAGATTACAAAGTCTGTAACAACAAAACCCTTTGAAAAGCAGCTTACCATCATGAACTCAGCTAAATCCTGCACACGAATCCTTATGAACAAAGTCTTATCCTGGCATCACAATGATGTGAATAATTCAATTTAGCTCAGCATGTGTAAGTGCTTTCTGTACATAGCATTATACTCAATTTTCTAAGCAGGAGCTCCCAAAGTATGTTTATTGAACTTCAGACACTATAGCACCTGGAAACTTCTTAAAAACAGAAATTCTTGAGATTCACCCAGTTCTACTGGCAGACTCTATGGAGGTGAGACTCCTAGGTAATTCTGATGCATAAAGTCTGAGACCCACTGCTCTAGGGGACATACAAATAAGGTTAATTGTGTCACATTGATTTTTTTTCCTTCTGAAGTTATTAGGTAGTAGAAGTCTTAACGTCTTTTAAAAATTAATTCTCTATCCAAATGACATAATTATTTTGTCATTCCCTCTTCTACTGGATTCCTTAATCTAACTATGAATTGTTGATTAGATTGTGGGCTCATTATTATACTTATTTTAATGTGTTAAAGTACAGAAATAATGTTCCTGGATGAGTTTGTCTTGTCTCCTGATACCCTGAGGATGACTGAATCATAGCGAGAAGGAAAATTAGGCAATATGGCTTGGGTTAATTTTAATTTCTCACTGTCTTATGAACATGCTAAGAAGTGAAGATGTTTCATGGTAATAGTTTTGGGAAAGTTAATAGATCGATATTTCAGCTAGAATTTACCTCTGAAATTTCAAATTTGTGTTTGTACATGCTCATGTATGTGTACATGTGTGAGTTCCCCAAGGCAAAATACTGTTCTAGTAATGCCTGGTGTTTATTTCAATATCTACTAAGTAAGAGGAAAAATAAGTGTTACATTGCTTAATCCATTGGAAAGCTTTACAATCAACAATCTTATGAGATTCTAGGAACCCCTCAGCACTGGGGTAGGAAAGAAAGTTCTAGAGATTCTTGGGAATAGGAGAATTTACCAGTATTTATAATGAGGAGAGAATGCTGTCAGGAGCCAAGGAAAAGAGGATCTTCTTTCCTGATTAAAGTTCCCATTCACTGAGTACAGCAAAAAGATGAATTGATACCACTACTGATCCTCCCCAAAGTTTATGTACCTCTGCCCAAAGCTAATGTCTCCACAAGAATCTTTATGTATGAGGGAGACTTAATTTAATGGTGGTGACCGGCATCCACTCAGGGCAACTGTGCTAGCTATTCTTCAGTCTGTTCCTCAGGGATTAGGTTCCAGACAATCACAGTGTTCTATAGCATGAAGTGGACATACTATTTATACTCAACTCCATCCATTCACTCATTCTTTTATTAAGTCCATTTTATTAGATGCCATGTGCCAGATGATATCCACAACTACCCCATCCAAGACTATTTAATTATTGTCTATATTAGGAATGACAGGAAACATCCCTCTAACAACATTTGCAACTCTTGTTATTTCAGGAAAATAGGATCGGATGTATAGTGTGACCAGGTGGGAACATGGTACTCGCACCGTCCCTTGAAAATCATGGGGGTTTCTTCTTTCTTACTTGTCATTGATACCTACACAGAAAAGGATCTTCTCAGGGCTCTAAGTCATTCAACAGAGTTGTTCCATTTCCTACTTCAGAATGCACTACAGGATCCCTCTTGGACTGGCTTGTAAGTAAAATAAAATAAAAAATGGAGGTAGGGTTTGTTGCTGATTTTGTTTATGCAGTGGGTAACAGAAGTTAGAGTAGGGAGGGATATATTTGGGGCCACATGGAGAAAGAGGAGGGAGGGTCAAATGAATATAGTTTAACTAAATGGCTTTGTGACAGGGCAATGGCTCATATGATAGGTCTGACATCAATCAATATATGTATTTTCCATGGGGAAACAGTTTGACTTCCAAAATTACAGTGAAGTTCAGAGTGAAACAAGCACAAAACAAACATTACTTCCACTCTTTGCCAACAGTGAGACCTGAGAAAATTATATAACCTCCCCAAAGTTCAGTTCCTTCAACTTTAAAGTAATAATAATACATGCAAATCACTTAGGACAATGCATGACACCTGATCATCCTCATTAAATGTTAGCCAGAATTTATATTTTGATCAGAAATAAGTTGTTGGCTATCTGTGCTGAAGGTAAAGAGCAATGGAAAATTGGATCTAGAAGGCATTTTTCTCTTCAAACATACAAACTAAGAATTAAAAACCCAAGCCAAAAGACATAGTCACCTTGAGGTCAGTGAAGACTCCAGGTCTCTGCATATCTACAGACTTTAAGAAATATATAAAGTGCTTCTCAAAACAGATAAACTGATCATCTTAGGAGATGGAATGGCAGAATTGAAGTGATTCTTCTTACCTCAGTTCGGTGCACGAGCTGTTGAGTTGCATCATCATTCATGCGAAAAATTTCCAGAAATGGGTCAGATTTACTGAAGAAATCCTAAAATACAGAAATGGCAACATGTTGGATTGTTTTCTACTGTATTTGATCTTGTCCTGATAAAGTAGGGAGGTTTAATCTACAGAACTCTTCTCTCTGATTTTGCATTGTCTATATGTAGAATGGAAGCCAGGTCTGTCATATATTCCTAAATATCTGCCAGGTTTTACCCAAACTCTTCTCCTCTTGCCCTGTGAGAGTGAATACCACACTTTCTTGCTGTGTCTTCATTCTTCTGATCTATTCTTGGCCAGAATAAGCTATATCTGAACTCTAAGTCCTTTGTGAAGTAAGTACTTGGTTAGTTGAAGTCTTCTTCAAAGATCAATTAAAATGCCAGTTCTTTGAGAAGTGATCTGCTGTCTTAAACATGCTAATTATAGTTATTATAGGGCCATGCTACTTTAGGAGCAGAGGTGAGTGGACAATCTATATAGAACATCTGAATCACCTTGGTGGCTTTCTCCTTTCTCCAGTTTCTTGGTCCCTTATCTTGATTGCTTGAGGACTCCCAAACAGATGTCTTTTGTATTTTTCCTACTGTCTATAGTTATTTGCAGTGGGATATTGATGCAAAATAAACAGGTGATTCATTATTGGAAGCAGAATCTATCTACATCTTCCTTGCAAATTTGTTTTTACCAAGTAGATAATAAATATTCAGAGAGGAGGGATTGTCTTATTTTCCTTTACATTTCTAATCAGCATCTTTCATAGTATCTAGATTCTAGTAGTATATAGTATATATTGAATGCACAAATAAATGAAAGAATGGCACAAACACTTGTAGGATAGGAGGCTATCTGTGTTATAGCTCTATTTATCACACTCCCCTGGTACTTCACTAGGTCAGTTTTATTTTCAGAAATCTCAACTGTAACAAAACAGAATTTGGTCTACATTTGTCTTAACAGTCATCTTTTATCCCCAAAAGGTAACAACCCAGAGTCAAACTCATTATTTCCCTTTGTGTACTGTTTGGTCTCTATCTCTAAATTTGCCCTGACCACCAAAGCCTTTACCAGCCAACCTAGTCTTGAGCTCTGCAAAATATTTGCAGGGCATATGCTGATCTTTTGTGCTTGATATTAATACACAAGGAGAGCAAGTGTCTGTTCTCACTCTCCAAATACCATTCACTTTGGTGTTTAGGACAAGTAAACAAATAAACATAATCCAGGGTTAAGAATGAATGGATAGAGAAACGAGCGAATGTATGAGGAATCTTTAGAGAAGGGGAAGAAATTGATGAATTTTGACTGGAAAAGATGAAGAGGGTGTGTCTAGGATGAGAACAGTCTGAGAGAAAATGTGAAAGAGTAAACAGAGAAAGAGATACACACAGGGGCTTAATTTGATGATAGCATTAAGAATGTGCAGGGGAAGAATTAGTGACAGTGCTAGCAAAGTCAGCTCTATGATGAGAGGAGCCTTAAATGCTATTTGGCCTATATGCTGGCCTGGGAGGAAGTAGGGAGCCATTGAAGGATTTTGAGGAGGAAAATAATATGATTGGCTATATAGTGGAGAATATCAGTGTAGAAGCTTTGTGGGGTACCCCCAGAGAGAAAAGACATGGTTGGTAAGGATAACTGTTTTATCCTTTGTTTTCCTCCCTACCCAACCAGGAACTAACCACTAGGTGTCACAACTCCCAGAGTCTGGAATGGCCCCTTCTGCTCTCCACCAGATTATGGTGACTTTCATCTTGTCAAGAACCCACGACATTTACTTTCATCACAAGCCTGCCCCAAAACTTGCCTCTTCCCCCAATTGCCCATTCCTCTCCCAGACATACTCCTAGCTGATTCCTTCCTCTGCAGTTGTCAACACATATTCCCCTCAGGCCTAGTTCTACTTCCATAGTCATCTTAAAAAATTGTTACCTCCCTCTCTTCTCCCTTCCCTAATAGATCCAGGCCATATTAGCTTGTTCTTATGTATGCTTAGGCTCCCTGCTTTGCCTCCATAAATAGATCATTGGTCCCTCAGGGGATGTATTTATGAATTGCACTTGAAAACTGCTGACCACAGTGAAAGAGCTCTGTCAAGTATTTTTCTTTTTATTGATAATTTAAAACTTTTATTAATATCACTTTTATTTAAATATGGAAAATGTAGAAAAATAGAAAGATGACAAAAATAAGAGGGGAAAAAAAACCTCCATAACACCACTCATAATTCTACAAAGATCAGTTGTATTTTGGGAAAATGTTTTCTACAAACTAGATATAATTTTCTTTTCTTTCTTCCTTTTGTGTATGTGTGTGTGTGTGTGTATACATATATATATATATGTACATACACACAATTAAGTTTTAAGTATACAAATTATATTTGTATAATTATACATATATAATTATACAAACATAATTTTCTTTTCATTGTACCTAAATAGTTAAATGAAATTTTACCTAGATTATGACTATATATGGACACTTAATATTTATACAAATTTGTAGGGTACAGTATAACCTGATAGGTAATGAGCAAATCAGAGTGATTGCTATTTTCATCCCCCTAAGCATTTATTACTTCTATGTCTTCACATTCTTCTAGTTATTTTGAATATATCAAATTCTATAGCCACTATACTGTGCTATAGAACATCAAAACTAACTCTTCCTATCTGACTATATTTTTGTGCCTGTTTTTTAATCTCCCTTTATCCCTTCTCTTGTTCACAGTGACCACTATTCTACAATCTCACTTAATAAAATTTCTTATTGGAGGATAGGGACTATATTTTCTTTTCATATTATATGCATATATGTATATTCTATATGCAATTTATTGTTCTGTTTCTTTCATTTGATAATCTGCTAAAATTCTCTATTTCACATTTTTTTAAAATGTTATTTAGGGTTAGCATGGAGTTATAGTGAGAAGGGCATAGCATAAGTCAAGGAGAAATGGGCCTGATAGAGTATCTGTCTTTCTGTAACTGAAACTCTGATGTGAAGTCCCTTGGACTTTAGTCTTGCTCTTAAATCCTGACTCTACCACCTATAGCCTGGATGGTTGGGGGCAAGAGATTTAATTTCTCAATCTCAGTTTTCCATCCATCAGTGGAAAGAGTGGACTGTATTTACTAATATTACTACATTATAAAAATATTTTAAAAAATATTCATTTGTAAGATACCTCACTACTGATGAAATGGATCAAGAAAATGTGGTATTTATATACAATGGAATTTTATCCAGTCACAAAGAAGAATGAAGTTTTGTCATTTGCAAGTAAATGGATGGAACTGGAGAATAACATCTTAAGTGAAGTTAGCCAGGTACAGAAAGTCAAATGTCAGTCACATGATCTCTCTGATATGTGTAATATAGACCTAATACAAATACAGCAATACTATAAAACAGGTCATGCTAAGGGAGATCACATATGAGAGGGGGAGGGTAAAAGAAGGAAGTTTAGAAGGTGAATATGGTTGATTTTCTCTCTATACAAAAATAATATAAAATTTGTAAACCAGTTGAAACTACCATAAGAAAGGGACTAACTAAGGTATAAAGAAGAAAAATAGAAGAGATGAATCAAATTGGGCTATAGTACATATAAACATAGAAGTGCTACAAGGAAACTCCTTGTGTAGCTATCTTAAACAACCAAAAATGTCATTTTCTTCTTCTGCTGCTGCTTCTTCTTCTTCTCTTCTTATACAAAATTGGAGAACAGGAGAGCAAAACAGGTCTTGCCTGGGGAGGTTGGTAACAGTGGGAAAGGGGAGGAGATGGAGAAATGGTGAAGGAGGGTGAATACAGTGCAAATACTATGTACACTATGTACACATGTATGTAAATGGAAAAATGATATCTGTTGAAACTATTCCAGGAATGGGAGAAGGAGGGGATGAAGGAGAATGGTGGAGGGGGTGAATTCAAGTATGATATATTTGATATATTGTAGGAACTTTTGGAGATGCCACAATGCACCTCCAGCCAGCACAATAAAAAAATTCATTTGTCATATTATTTAAAAAAATAATAAAAATAAACGCACTACATAACAAAAATAGCATTTTAATGGAAAATAATTAATTTTGTGCATTCAGAAAATGTTGAGAATGACATTATTTGACATTTTTGCAAATCAATTTAATGACTGGCTTATCCAAGGAAGCAGAGCCTCTGTTTTGTTCTCTGAATCACTAAGGCATCCAGACAAGACACCATTACATCATGAAGGACCTTGGGTCTATAGCACTGGGCACACTGAGACTCAGTAGTGACCAGGGTCCTGGGCAATCAGCGCAGTCTGTGATGGGAACGGCCATTTAGAACCATATGAAGTGCTACAGAGGCTCTTTCAGTTTTGTGAGCACACTACATGGTAATCACTCCAACACTATAGCACCAATGGGTCCACTAAAAAATGCTGACGTCCCCTGGCACTGTAACATAAATCAGAGGACAAATTAGAGGTACTTAAGACACTACTAAATGGAGAGACACATTGTAAGCCATAAGTGAGCGGCTTAAAACTGTTACATGCTCACTTGATGGCTTATAATGGCACCAGGGAAGACAGTGCAGAGCAGTTTTGTGAACTCTGCTGAAACTTGGGGAGGTGGTGGAAGAGAAGGAGCATGGTAAGTTATGAAGAAGTGAAGGTTAAAAGTTCACCTGCACACCGCAGTTCAGCACCCTGCTTGTGCTGCCGTCAACAGATAGTAGTTTGCAAAGGTTTTACCCAGTCTACACAGGGTATTAAAAATATCAAAATGCAGTTCATTTATAAGGATAAAGTCTTTTCTGGAGTCCCTAGGCAAGATGAAGTACTCTTCCCAGGACAGTCTAACTATCCATCAATTATCAAATCCTATCATGGATATAGCATTAATTTGTTATTTGTTTTTTAAATTTCTGTTTTACTTAGATGAAGGATTCCAAATTATGGTGGACCAGTGGCATAACTGGGACACACCTTGTGCGTAACAGATATCCAGCACAATTTGGTAAATGAAGGATGAATGATTGGATAAGGTAACAAATAAAAGAGACAACCAGAAGATGCATAAATGGGCCAAGTATTTTTTTTTTGTAGTTGAAAAGTCAACGAGGTAGGCCATGATATAAACTGCTAAGACTTTAAACAGTTACCTAAGACCCTGCTTTAAAACCCGTAAGTCATTCTTTAAGCAAAGTGGTGTTACATCCAAAAAAATCCCAATTCTTATTCTAGGAAAATGGAGCCCTATGTGGATATATTCATTGACGTGTAGGGCTGCTCTTGGGGAGAAAGGGATATTAAGGCAGGGTTCTTCCTGGAAAACACTGGTCTCTCCAGTGGCTGACTTTGGCTCCAGAACTTGCCAATGGCCATATTAAATCTACCTTAGTCTATGTGACATTCCTGGAGACTTTCACCCACAGTTCACTTCTTCTCTCCTTCATGCAGGGCCAGACTTTCATTATAGTCTGTTGGTTTTCTCCAACTTTCTCTTTATGTCCCCACATGGGCATTTCTGCTAATAAAATCCTCCTGTATTTAATCTTGCCTTGGTGTTTATTACTCAGAGGCTCTGGACTAACATATGGAGTAACCCTTAAACAAGTTAATTCACCTTTGAATCCTTTTCCTCATCCTCAGAAGTGTTAATAATACCTGTTAAATGGGACTTGTACATGATATTAAATGTGATAATGCGTGAAAAGTTTTTAACCCTGTACTTGGAAGGCTTGGATGTTTAATAAATGTCTTCTCTTTCACATTGTCTCCTTACCCTTACAATATCCCTAATGATGGGGTAAAATCATATTTTCCTGTGGCATTTGGAAACAAATGAAGCCTTGACATAATAAAATTGTCCTATTTTAATTACAGTCACTTCCCCTTCTCATTAACTGCTTCTCAATTTGGGGAAAGCCTTATTTTGAACACCTCTCTGAAATCTTTGATCTGTTTAATAATGTGGGTTGAAAGGGAAAAATAGCTGCAGGGAGAAATCTGATTAAATTGTGTGCTATCTTTATTACTTCCTTCAGTAAGGTTAATACCAAACATTTTACCTTATCATCCAATTTCCGTGCATTGAATGCAAGCTCTACGTAGTCATCGTTACCAGATAATTCCTCAGCAATCACCTAAAGGAAAAGCACATATCAGCTTCAGTGGAGGATGGATCCCTTAGCCCAGGAACCCTTGAGCAAATTTAGCTCATATTGTCTAAAAATCAACAAAACCAGATGTTAGGCAAGAGTCTTCTCATAACCCTAGTGAACAAACGTGGTACACCATTTCCAGGCATTAATGGGAACTGAGAAATACACAGCAGTAGACAGCTAGATTTCATTTGTGCTGAGTTTGACGATATGAGAGATGGGAATGCTGCTGGAGGAAAAGACAACAGGAGCAGCAGTTAGGAAGAGCTTTCTTTAGAGATTTCATGGAACACTGGATAGTTCTTCCATAAATAATTATAATTTTTCTCATTGGGAAGTTACAAAGAAGAAAGAACAGCCACACTTTTCTATTACTTTGAATGTGACCCAAAAGGGATCTGGGAATAAATTGGTCTCTGTGTCTGTTCCAGACCTATGGTAATATGGTGGCCAAATAAACTTTCTAATTCCTATTTTTTTCAAAAACTGTTCTGGGATCTCTGTGTTTCTCTGTCTCTGTCTCTTATACACACAAACACATATGGGGGGAAGGGAGGGAGCTAGGAAAGGAGGGAAAGAGAGGGAGAAGGAAGAAGAGATGGAGGGAGAGGTAGGAAGGGAGGGAGAGGAAAGAAGGGAGGGAGAGGGAGAGGAAGGAAGGGAGGAAGGGAGGGAGAGAGGGAGAGGAGGGAGAGAGACAGACAGACAGACACACAGAGAGATATGTCTAACCCTAAGAATTCTTGACAAACATTTTATATACGAGAAGAGATGATACTGTCCAAGAAGCTCTCTTATAAGAAATCACTTTCCAATGTTTGATAGCCAATGACTCTAAAACCTTGGAGGAGAACTTGGTGGAAAAAGTCAGGGTAAAGACAGAACCAACAAAAGTCCAGAGGCCATTCTAGTTGCATATAAACCACTGATAAATAATATTAGGATTTTATCATGTATTCAGGAACCACAGAATACAAACATCCTTATTTAATTGGTTATTTTAACACACTGATATTTAATTCATTTTTATCTCCACTCTATCTAAGCTCAACTTTTCCTTCATGAGCTGTTCTGAATACTCACTGGTAGCCACTGGAAAACATAAGTTATTTATATCTAATATTAAAGCTAAAAAGGCTATCTAAAGAGGGATAGACCCAACAAAGAATGAGTTACTGAGAGCTGGAAACATGAGTCCAGGGATATAGGAAAAACTCAAGAACTGCATGGTAATTCAAGAATTGTGTCTATATTTTTTATTTGGTTTTCTTTTGTCCCTTCCCACCTAAATGCCTCCTTTTATACTCCATTTGAATAATGTTTAAAGTTCAATGAATTATGTCTAGAAAAACAGTATAACTGAGTTACAATTCTAATTTTGTATCTTATAGTCCACCTAACTATTTTGTGGACACAGACACCTCTGGGAAGCTGATAAAAGTTTGGAGCTTTTCTATCTCCAGAGGCCTTGAAATTTTCACACACATTTTCAGATGTTTTTGGAAGCTGTTGAAGCCACTGTTTTGATCTGAGGGACCAGGATTGGGGAGAGGGGGGCAGTATGTTAATATTTAAAATTAAGATGAAGAGGAATGTGTAGAGGAATAAAATCTCCAACATGTCTTAGAGAGTAGGTAGCAAGACAAGATTTTGTTCTTTTGGGAAAGGACCATAGCAAATTTCATTCCTGGGTCCTTTGTGTTTGTGGCTTTGGAAGTACACCTTTGAATCCACGGCTTTTTAGAGCACTGTTGGGGTCTTCAAAAAACACTTGATTCGTCACTGAACATGTCAGTATTATTCAAAATATTGAAGCAACAGGGTGTATATTGAAGCTGGGTGTGTAACTTGGTGGTAGAGTATGTACTTAACATGTGAAGCCCTGGGTGCAATGAATCCCCTGAAACGGTAAATGAAGAAATAAATAAAACACCTACGCAACAAACTCAGGTAAGTTCTTATGCGAATGGTCACAACATTCACCACTGGGAATTTTTTCCTTTAAGAAATGATTTTAAGCCAGGATGGAGGTACACATTTATAATCCCAGAATTTAAGAGGCTAAGACAGGATGGTCATGAATTCAAGACCAGCCTGGGCTACATAGTGAATTCCAGGCCAGCCTGAGCTACATATCAAGACCATGTCTCAAACAAGCCAAGGGGGCTGGGATGGCAGAGTGCTTGACTAGCAGGTACAAGGCCTGGGTTAGAACCTCAGCACCACATGTGTGTGCTTTTCTTTCCTCTTCTCCTCCTTCACCTACCCCTTCCTCCTCCTCCTCCTCCTTCTTCCTTCTCTCTTTCTGTCTCTTCCGCTCCACCCCACAGAGCTAAATGGTAGCTCCACTTTCTCTACATTTCTCCAAGGTTATGTGTCAGACTTTCACCTATCAGAATTTCTACATGAAAATTAGGGCTCTAATTAGAAATACTTCCAGCATTTCCCAGCAGAACATAGCATGTTCTCTGCAGTCTCCGACATGGTAGCTGCTAGTCACATGTAACTGTTGAACATGCAACACTAGGCTAGTATGATGACTAGGGAACTGATTATTTGTTTTTATTGAATTTAAATACATTTATTTGCTTAAATGATCATGTGTGTCTAGTGGGCACAGAATCAGACAGCATAGCTCCAAATGATTACATCAAAGAGGAATGCTACATGCTGGACACTTTTTTCTTAGGCAACAAACCCTTGGACTAAATACTATTAAAATTTTAATCCTCAAAAAAAAAAAAAAAGACCTAAGCCTAAGAGAGAGAGAGAGAGAAGGGGAGAGAGACGAGGGAGGGAAGAGGGGGAGGGGAAGGGGGGGAGGAGAGAGAGAAGAGGAGAGAAAAGAGGGGGAAGGGGAGAGAGAGAGGAGGAGAGGAGAGGGGAGGGGAGAGAGAGAAGGAGAGGAAGGAAAGAAGAGAGGGGGAGGGGAGAGAGAGAAGAGAGACCACAATTCCATATTCTTTTTTTTTCTTTAATTATTCATTTATTCACATGTACATACATTGTTTGGGTCATTTCTCCCCCCTGCCCCCCTTCCATATTCTTAATGTGTTCAACATCAACTTTCTTCTCTACTAAAACCTATATTGTAATTACAGAAGTGCTTAGAAAAAGTGAGTAATCTCACTTTTAAATCCTTTTCCTCACCATTTTTTCTAAAGTAAGAGGATCAAAACTGTATTGTCAAGAAAGAGAAAGAGGGGAAACAGAAAGAGGTGCCTTGGACAAGGTCAGCATCTATAGCATCAACCCCAAGTAGGCAGAGGGTCTACCTGCCTTGTGGATGTGCTAGCCCATAGGTCACCACACATGGGCAAGTGGGCTGCTCATGGGCAAGTGGGCAGGACTTACCGTGATGGAGGACTTCCCTGCTGTGTTCCCCTGCTTCAGCAAGGACTTGGACAGCTTTCTCTGGGAAACAATCTGCACAAAAGAAAATAAAAAGAGATACTATCATGTAATTGCAGGTTTATTTTTAAAATATTGTCCTCTACAAAATTCTGCATTTACAACTCTGCTTGAAATTATGATGTCAATTTCCATTTATATTCCCAGTTTCATCCAGGTTATTCCCTTTTCTTTCTTTTCTCCTATGGCCTGTGATGAAAGAAAGTGAGTGAGGAATTACAGATAATTAAGCTACAATTAAGGTAGCTTAATTGTTGCTGAAGCATTTAGATCAAAATTATATGGGTGATGTTGAACTCATACATTAAGGTAATGTAAATGACCCTTCAGGATGTTCTTACATTAGCACCAAACCTGTTTGCAAAGTGGGGGATAGGGTGCAGGGAGGAAAGGAGCCAAGTGTCTAAATATGCAGTTTCTTGTCTACATCCTCTAGAGCTCTATTTTAACATGTTAGTTGGAAGCTATAAAGTAAGTCATCAGGAAACTGATGCTCAGACAAGCCAACAGGAGTAACTGGGGTCCTCTTCACAATCCAGTGTCAGTGCATACTCACAAGAACAAAAATCACCATCATCATCATACTGGAAGTTATTCTTAGAAGAACCTGCCTGTTCTCTGATTTTCCTCTTTCTTCCTGTGTTGAAAGATAGGGTTGGTAGGACATTGAGGTCTGGGTGGATATGCAACCCATGATTCCCAAAGGAGAAAAGGATTCAAAGAATCAAGTTTAAGCCATGCTAATTATTAAGGAGAACCATGTCACCTGTTATGGTGGGCAGTTCCTATTTAAGATGGTCCACTCTGATTCCTGAATCCTAGGGGTGGAATGGACCCAGTGACTTTCTTCTAATGAATGGAATACCAGAAAAATGATGAGATACAATTTCTGAGATTAGGTTACACAATTCCTGTGACTTTCATCTTGCTTGCCATGTCTTCCTTTCTGAGCCCTTGCTCTGGTAGAAACAAAGTGACAAGTTGTGAGTCAGCTCTGTAGAAAGCTCAAGTGGAAAGGAATTGAAGTCTTCAGCTAACAGTCCATGAGGACCTAAGACCTACCAACAGCCATGTGCATAAGCCCACACATCCACCCTTCAGCTGAGTCTAGGGATGACTGCATCCTGATGTGGAGGACCCAGAAAAGCCATACCCTGATCCCTATCACAAGAAATTGTGAGATGTTTGTTTTTTAAGCTGTCAAGTTTTGGGGTAACTTTAATGCAAAGATAACAATACATACATTCTTCACAGAATGATGGGAAAGAAAATCTCCATGAAAGGCAGGGAGAAATTCTCATACTGTATATTTTTGTCTACGTGTTAGAATAATGGACATAAATACCAAGAGTGTTCTAGTGCCAAATGCAGAAAAGTCCAGAAAACTTCCCCAGGTCAAACAGACTTAAGGATCCTGATGCTCTGTCTGCTATAATCCAAAGAGGAAATTTCTGTAAAAAAATCACCTGGTGGTGATGATGATGATAACTGCAATGATGCCATCAATAAAACTCCATTTAAGATGTACATAATGCGTGGTATATGCTTTATTCAATTCTACAGATATTGATTTAGTCCTCATTGTATGCTAGACTTGGTGCTAGGCATGAAGAATAGAGTAAGCAAAATAAGATATCACATCTGACCTCACAATCCTCAGAGGATTGTGAAAGATTGGGGAAGATAAATGAATAAGTGACAAAACGAGGGTCACCTGGAAGCAGTAGCTCAGTCAACATATGATTTTTTTAAAAGGCCACCTATCCCATTTCCCAAATAAATGTGGTCTTAAATATATTTCTTTTGTGTGGGGGCTGGCACCAGTTGGAGGGGGAGGATATAAGGAAAGGAGGATATAAGGAAGAGTGAATGTGGTGGAAATTTATGTACTCATGTATGAAAATGGAAAAATGAGACCTGAAACTATTTCAGGAATGAGGGGAGGGGGGATAAAGGAGAATATTAGAGAGGGTGAATTCAACTATGATACATTGTCACAATATACCCTCAGAAAAACAATAATATAGTAAAAAAGTAAAAAGAAAGTATGATAATAAAAAGTAAAAAAAAATATTCTTCTATTGTTTCTGTGTTTCATCAACATTAGTTACCCACCCCATGGCTTGGGTTGACTCCAATGTTCCCTCCCAGGACTATAATAACCAACTTGTTGGGTTACAGGTAAGGGCAGACTATCTTTACAGAGCACTCTTTCAATACCACCTTACCATTCCTCAAGGAAAAGCAAGGGAGACTTAACCCATGGAATCCATGGCCACAGTTTACTGTCCTCACTCTTATCTAGAAATACCACCAACATCTCCATTTGTAGGTATGCAAGTACACTACCATGTACTGGTTCCTGCCTTTTGTGCCTGCTAGGCAGAAAAGAGAGTTCCAGGAAACATGCCTTCTTAGGAAAAGGGCATTTGGGTATACAAGTGGTTAAACAAGCAGACAACGAAACAAACTTGTTCTATAGTCTCCAGGCCTCCATCTCAGCTCCAAAGAATAAGTAACAATTTGGGCTTCAAAGCTTTTATGGCAATAATGATGGACAAGCAATGAGCTGTCATTCATGTTGCCATTCTTAGGACTATTGGGCAAAAATAGCAGGGATGCCCAGCTGGAGTGGTGAGCTACAGAGGAAAGCCTATTTGTTGCAAATCCTACCTACCATGTATACTTAATTATTTCATAAGCAAGTGAACCAGGCTGAAAAGGACCTTCGGTCTTGTCAGAGAATGAGGAAGTCAGAGTGACAAGTACTCACCCTGGCCGCAGCTGACATTTGAGGCCAACAAATAGTAAGGTCTGCCTGGCATCAAGGCTAAGGGGGATGCACGTGTCAGAAGTCCTCTAATTTGATTTTTTCCACCCGATCATGGAGTCACAGCTGCAAACCTCAGTATTCATTAACAGGGTGAAGTGTAGAGGGAGGAAATAGGAGTTGAAACACTCTTTCTAGCAAGGTTGGACCTGAGGCACATCTATCCTATTAGGTTCCTGATCTGCATCCCGCACAGGGATCTAAGAGAAGAAAGCGCATGTTCTCCCATAAAGTGGATAAAACACAGGCCTTCATTTTTCAGGGAAGTCTGCACTTTCATTGAAATAAATGGGAACAAAGCCAGGCGAATACCCTACCCCTCCCTCTGTGTGTGTGAGTGTGAGTGTGAGTGTGTGTGAGTGTGAGTGTGTGTGTGTGTGTGTGTGTGTGTGTGTGTAGGGCTAGGGATCAAACCCAGGGCCTCACACATGCTAGGCAAGCTCTCTACCATTTGAGCTATACCCCTCACCCCCAGCCATTCAGCCACTATTTGAACAACTATATATTCAGGGAAATTTTCCCCCAAATTCTTCAAAACAGTCATTTTGGGGATTAGACAGTCTTTTTTTCATGAAACTGTGGTCAGTGAAAAAATCTTCAGAATTCTTTTTAAAATTGTTTTAAAATTGTTACAATAACAAATATTTATTGGACACCTCTATATGCAGGTGCTGGTTCATAGGCTACCAGGGTGTACAAGAAACAGATTGAACGCATCTTTACAATACAGCACAGTCATGTCTCTTATTAGCCTGAATTTATAATCCCCCAAAGCATATATTATAGAACTTTTGTTTCTTAAAAGTAAGCATGTATTAAATGAACAAAAGTCTTTGTGTAAATACATTTAGAAGCCACAGACATTTAACATCTCAACTACAGGACATCACAGAGCTGTGGTTGTGAATATCCTTGAGGACAAAGATGTGACATGTGTTCCTTACATGATTTGGGCCCCAGAATCCTTCTATCAAAAAGAATATCCAGTGTCCTGCAAACTACTGCTGTAATTACTAGGATCACTACTGCAGAGAACAGCCAAGGTGTCCTGATAGCTTGACAGAACTGGTCCTGCTTCTAACAGACACATCAGTCATTTTTTTACCTAAAGTTTTTTTTTTGTTTGGTTTTTTTTCCTTAAGTAGCCATACCTGCTGTCCAAAGGCACAGCAAGCAGGAAGTGGTGAGGACTGACACCTCTTGAGGGGGCAGACCTAAATAGATGATTGATGGGCTTGGTGCATAAATACTCCAGCTCCTTTGCCCCCAGAGTGAGGGGTGACTTTGATGTGTCTGTACTACACAGATGCCCAGATTTTCCAATTGCACCCAGTGGTAATTTGTTAGAGCATGCATCCTTATTTTATTGCCTGCTTTTTCTCTCCCGTTTTACTTCTCTGCTCTTCTCCCGGTGTGTCTTTCACCTTCCAAATCATCTACCTACTCTCCAGCATATAGGTGTGATTCCAGGGGAGCACAACCAAGACCAGTATTAGATAATATGTGGAGCACTCCATACATGTTACCTCATTTCATGGCATTGAATGACCAAACTCTCTCTTGTCTTGGGATGAGGGAAGTGAGGCTTAGAGAAATAAAGGAGTTTGGCGAAGGTCATTCACTTAATGTCATGGTCTGAATTGTGTCATTCCCCAAAGGCACACATTGAAGCTCTAATCCCCAATGTAACTATCTGAAGATAGGACTTTTAAGGATATAATTAAGGTCAAATGAGGTCATATGGGTGGCGCCCTAATCTGATAGGACTAATGTCCTATAAAAAGAGGACGATGCAGGAGTGTGCACATATACGTGATCTTCCTCTTTCTTCCTTCCCTTTTCTCCCCTTATTCATTCTTTCCATCTTCTTTCCTTTCGCTTCTCTTCTTCCCCCTTCCCCTTTCTTGCTGTCCTCCTCTCTCTCCCTCTTTGTTCTTCTCCCCCTCCAGAGGTGCTCACAAACAAAAGGTCTTGAGAAAAGGTGGCTGTCTGCAAGCTAGGAAGAGAGTTCCCAAAATAAACTATCCCTGATAGCACCTTAATCTTCAGTTTCTAACCTCCAGAACCATAAGAAAATAATTTTCTGTTGTTTAAACCACTCAGTCTATATTTTGATATGGCAGCCTCAATTGACAAACATAGCTTGCAAGACTTGGAGTCAAAATTCCTTCATCGCAGATTTTTA